ATAGTGGGAAAGTAGGAAAAGAAAAAGGGTAGAAAAGAACATGTGGAGTAGAAGGGAGAATTTTACTGTTCTTTGTTTCAAACTTACTTAAAAAGAATTTCTATATGATTTCAGTGTTAATATTTAGATTTAACGAAAAAAGAAATTTCACTTTTAAAAAATAATACATTTTAATTCATTTAAATTTCAGATCAATTTCCCAGTTAGCATTCAGTAAATGGTAATGTCATATAAAGACATGAATATTCTGATGTATGAATGCAATATGGTGTCTGTGAATAAATTTGAGTCTACATTGTTCTATAGTTGTTCTGAGAACTTCAAATTAAAATACTCTTAAAACTAACTGCACTTTCAGAATTTTTCTATTAACCAAGGGGTCATTTCAATATATTGGTCATATTCTGGTGAATATGAATAACTATTGATCTTCCAATAACTGGTCATATTTAATATGTTCAGTATATTGGGACTACACTCTTAGAAATCTCCTTGCCAACTTGGCTCAAGATTTCCTGCTAACTTTAGGTTCTGCTGTTCCCATACACATGGAAGGAGCTAGCTTGGAAAAATTCATCTAAAATAATTCTTATGCAACTGATTTCTCTTTAGTTTTATTAGGTTTCCCCCGAAGAATACAAATGGTTAGTGTGACAAATTTCATAAGGAATTTTAGTGCAAAACTATGCAATGATATTATCAGCAGAAAAGTATCTTGTTACTCATGAGAAGTAATTATGATCACATTTAAAAGTATTAATGCCTACGTGACATCCATCCATCCATCCATCCATCCATCATCTATCTATCTAATATATCCTGCCTTCTTGTAAACTCTTTCATATCATATATCTAACTCCCCTCTCCTCTGTATCCAGAATGTTGACTTTGAAAGCGAAAAAGAGGTTTTTAAATAATTTGAAGAGGTAACAATTAGTAAAAAGGACAAATTTGAATAAAGTTTTAAAGTGCTGTCTCTTATATTTTTAGGCTTTATCACAGATTACCAGCCCTATTTCAGTCACGATCAATCTTATTATAATCTGGCTATCTTGTATTGTATTTCTAATTATAAATGAGTAGCAGTTTCGCTGAACAAGTAAGAAGACATATAAAGCCATAAATAATATTGTGGCAGCTTGAGTCTAGAAACATTAAGAAAATATTGCGTAAGACTGAGCTATCCCATTTTGATTGTCGGATAATATTCTTTGCTCTTTTTTGCAATCTTGCATGATTTAAATAAAAACTAAAACATCCAAGTTTCTTTTGTTGTTAATTATTTCACTGATAGGTTTGTGAACAAATCTTGTACCTGCTTACTAGAGATCACAATTAGTTGCTTTAGAGCTCAGAACATCCTGAGTAAGAGCTGAAGCTGGTGAGGTGGGACCCAGTGCTACTCAGATCATAGAAGACCAGATAGATTCTAATGTCAAGGTTTAGAAAAAAGTGTCCAAAATCTGTTAATTAAAAGAACCTGGAAAAAGAACCTTCACATTTAAACTCTGGGACTGGCAGAAATATATGGCTTAATTTCTATGTTCTGCAGTGTAGTTTATCTTATCTACAGTAAGGCAAATTATTTAACAATGTCAAGATTTTGACATTTATCTTGTTATGTAGTTCATGAATGTGAGATTAATTTTCTAGAAATAATAGAGATTGGCCTAAGCTGTGTCATTGAATATTCACAATTTATAATACATGCAATATATTCATGGCTTCTACCTATATTAATCTCAAAACTTGAGGGATAAACTTTTTTTTTTACATTCACACAAACAAAATTTAGGTCACCAGGATTCTGTTTTAATGATAATGTAGGTGGGAATTTTCCAGTCTGTGCCTCATATTAGCTAGTTGATTCTATAAATGAAAGTCCAACAACTCTAATAGGTTGAAAAAAATCTAATGTAGATCTGAATATTTTTATTATTTTCAATAGCCTTTTATTATTTGTGTAAGTAATAAATGACATTGAATATGATTTTTTAAGAAAATTTTGTATTCTCACAACTTTTTTCTTTTTATCATGATTAGAGAGTTGAGCTATTCAAGCAAAATGCGTAATGTATTTTTCTTTGATAATTAACACTGCTTTTATCTATTTAAAATACATTAAAGCAACAGGGTTTGACATGTATGGCAAAACCCTCCATTTCACTTTCTATCGCTTTGATAACATATTTATCCCAGGTTAAAAACATGCTGAGTACAGTTTGTTCTTGCACCAAACTCTTCATTCAGCAGTTTTGGAAAACAGCCAAATATGAAAAGTAAACCCTTCCCAGTTTAAATGAGGCAATTTCTTTCGTTGTCACTGGCCCTTTTAATGAAGTATGGTAGCACTGTCTAATTTTAGGATCAACATAGTTTAAAGCTGTGACTCTATATTAAGTTTCATATAGCTGTTCTAAGCGGAACTCCCCTGTAGATTGGTAAGAGGGTTCAGAAGGAAGTTGTAAATGTAGAGAAGATCTGCAAGAAAATTCTTTTGAAATCCTTCATGCTATACCACACAGGCTTCCAGTTCATGTGAAGAACCACACAGAATAAATTTGATTTCTTGGGCAAATGTATGTAGCACAGACAGTCCTTTCAATCCTTACATATCTCTAAGGAAAGTTTTATTGGAAGGGGTAACATATTAATAACAGAACAGTAAAAAAAACCAAGCTGAATTGTGGACAGTTCATTCAGATATTGTAATGTGTTCATGTGTAAAATCTCTAACATAATTCCAGCATCGTACCCCCATGTACACGGGTATCTATTCCTAAATAGGCATGCATAGGAATTTGGTTCTTCCATTTAACGAAGGACTTCAGAATAGCTTTCTGACTAAAAAGGAATTATGTGTACTCTTAAATTGAGCTCATTCTACAAAATATTAATAACATTCACCTACAGTACAGTAAATTAAAGTGGCAACATTTGAAGATTTGAAGAAATACAGAAGTCTATAATGTGGTTGGACTTATGTCATGTTTACAGCCATTATTTGTTAAACATGATTTTTGGTTTAGCACATTCAGGCATAACCTAAACAGTGATAAAGGAATACTCCAAACAAAACAGCGAAAAATGAATATTGACCAGAAACACAGAATTCCAGTTATTTGTTGGAGAAGAAAAGAGGAAGAAGGATGGGGACAAGGCAAAATAGCATAAATTACTCATGAAAAAAACATGAATGATATCATTACACAAGCAACAGCACTTGTTGCTTGTCCTGGTTATCACCTTTATTTGCATTTATCATCTTGATGATTTTTGTGCAGTTATTGGAACAATGATTTCTGTAGTAGTTTTATACATCCACAATGCTTTGCTTTGAATCTTGCTATACAGACTCCTTCCTGAAACTCATCCACACCTTGTTTAACATTATGGAGACTGGAAGAAAGTATCAAAATAAGACAAATATTATCAAATGGGTATAGTAGGTATTCATATATTACATTAATGTATACATTTACTGTACTTTCTTTGTCCAAGGACTTTTTTTACTTATTTACTAAAATACTTGCTAATGATTTTAGACAGACACTAAAAAAGTATGTTTAGCTCACAATATTTATCTCCTCAGAATTATATCTTCCATGCAATTTTTGTCCTAAATGTCCTATTTACTCTAGGATTGGATAGAAAGTGCACATGATTTCATCTCATCTTTATTGAAAGGTATAGATGCTTTGAAAACTTAGGGCCAACCACATTGCCCATTCACACATTCATTCATTAGCGAGTGCTTGAGAAAGTCTCCCATAGGAAGTATAATTCTTAATGTTTTTTTTATCATTTGCTGTCCAATCCAGTTGTCTTAGATAATATGAAAATTCCAGTCCTGGTGTAGATTAGAAGATCTCCAAGATTCCTTCCAACCCTATGATTCTAATTTTTTTCTTCCTCTCCATCTAACATTGCTGTCCCCCACTTCTTCCCCTTCCTTTCTCTGCTATCTTCTTCTCTTGACCCATGTTTATGATTGGAGAGGTGTGTGTGTGTGTATGTGTTAACTCTTTCAATATATGAACATAATTTCCATGTCTGTGAGCAAGGAACTTACCAATAATGCTGATGGAGGCCAGTTAATATGATACCTTTTTCCATAAGCAGATCATTTGAGTAATTATTAATTCTTCTCCTGATCATCCAGTCACTCTTTTTAAAGTGGCTTCTAGTGAGTATATATAAATATCTTTGTGTGTGTGTGTGTGCGTGTGTGTATAACCAAGTGTGACATGTGGACACCATGTATTTGGAAAGGGGAAATCTTCAGGATTGGTTTCAGCTGAAATTGGCAGCCCTAGGGTGATAAGATGGGGAAATCTGATCATTGCATAGGAATTTTGGCTGTATTTATGGTTTGTTCATTTTCCCCCATCTTCTAGTCCTTGGAGAAGTAGTATCTTAAATTAAGTGCCTTTCCCCCCCCCCCCCACCTAAATGTGATATACATAGTCCTTGTCTATTGTTCTCTTCTGCTCATTTTGAAACTTTGAAGTTCAAGAGTTTCTGCAACCTGAAGCTACCCATCTTTGCTTTATTTATTTCTCACATTTCTAAAACCACCCATCTCCCCCACAAAGAGGACTCCGATTAGATTTGTTAAATCATGTAATGTAATATAATGTAACATAATGCAACATAATTTAGCATGGATCTGCTTTGTAAGTGCAGATCATAACTATTGCAATATTAATTCTTATAACATCCTAAACAAGCTATATGAATATTGTGGCAGTTTTCGTAAATAGTCTGGATTCATATATCAAGCTATGCAATATGGTTTGTTCAGTTTTTCTCATCATGTTACATATAAGTTGGTTATATGTTATCTGCTGTATTTTTTCTCATGCAGAAAATATTCCATGACTATCATATTTATAGGAATTGTAAACCTATCTATGTATTTATAAGAAATGCAATTATAAACTTGTATACATTTATGCATTACATAGTACATCAATAATATTTCTTTCTTCTTTTCTCAGAATGATGACCTATACAACCTCAGAAAAACTTCTTCTTTGAATTCATGGGTATCCACACTTGGTTTTGTGTATCACAACTAGGACCTCAGTCTTCTTCCCCAGTAGATGGGTACGATGCATCCAGTTCAATTTGTTTACTTTACACAAACCTCAGGAGTTAATTAACTGAACTGCACATTCTCTTTCTTTTTTAAAAATATTTTTTGTTTGTGTGTGCCATGCAAAAGCACTGTGACACCTGGACAATGAGTCTATGATTGCTTCCTCCTTTATCATAGAGATTTAACTGGCAACAGTAAACCTATGTGCCCACCACTATAATATAGTGAGAGTGGGTATACTTCTAGCTCATCTATGTAAAACATAAATTTTTAATTTGCTGCTGAAAAACCTGTATGACAAATCATAAGTGTAAATTATTACATACAAACTGTTAATGTTGGTTGAAGAGTATTAAATATTTAACATAGGTTTTTGATTTATACATGTACTTTTTTAATTAAAATGTAACTTTTCCTACAGCACATCCTTTTTGATGTGGAACTGAGGTATACTATATTCTGTTATAAACAGAGTGGGATGGGTGGGGGAAATTGCTTAAAAAAAGGCATTTTAAGAATAGCTTAGGGTACTATTCTTTTTAAGATTGTAATTCAGAATATATTATATGGATCAATGGCCCATGAACCTGGATGTATAGTCATATTTACTGATATCATCAATAATTACAATTCAGCTGAATTCTTTAAAAATATAATATTTTTTATTCTTCCTGTGAAACATTATGAAAAGGCGAACTTATTTGTGCATGGTATTTGCAAGTGTGAATTTGAAATTGTTGGTTGCACAGGAACGTAGACAATATCAGAAAAATAAAGCTAAGTCTTCCATTGTACGTATGTATGTGTGTGCACACCAGCGTGCCCCTATATGTGTGTGTGTGTGTTTATAAAATTATATGTGTGTGTGTATAGGTATGTGTGTATATATACATACACACACATATATAAATACATAGAAAGTTATATAGGTACAAAGAAAAACATCTGAAATATTGGCAAATACTTCAAATGAAATTATTCCTGGAATGAAATATGTGGGCCTTTGTAAATTCTGGAAATCTCTTTCTATACATAATAAACTAGGAACTGTTTTATCTTTATTTATCCTACTTCATTGGTTTTCTCTTTACACCCAATCAATATATCTCATTCTATTTGATGTTCTTGATTTATTACAATAGGAATCATAGTTCAAATATTACTGAGTAATAAAATGTCTTGGTTGAAAAAACACATTACTCTCAAAAGTCAGGGATAGCTTGCATTCCTTAATGATAACTTACATTCCCATTTTCTCCCAATCTGATAAAATGGGATCCTCTTCATAGCCATTATAGAGAGAATCCCAAAACTTCTAAAAGTACAGAAACACACAACCATATGAATTGAAGTAGGCAAGCTAATTTTTTTGTCTACATCAAATTTGAATCATCTACATAGATCAGGCACGCAGCATCATTTCTTCATTTTAACTATTAATGACAAAAAGATCTCAATATAATTACTAAAAGAAGACACATGGAAGATATAAACAATGTATTCAAAACAATTGTTTTAAAAGTCTTAAATAAATTGATGGAAAGCTAGCCTATCCAAACCACGTCCTTAAAATTGGGTCGAAATTCACCTTTAGATTTTATTAGGTTTTTTTTTCCTCTTTACAAATCAAAGGCTGAAAGCAGCACATATAGAAGAGCTTTGGAGACATGCAGATTTACCTTTAAACAATTTTTAGTCCAGTATGTCATGTGAACCGAACTTTTGTGGTTAACTTTTGGCTGAAAATGTTTTGCAAACGCAGGAAACTTGTTTTAATTCTATGAGCCATATTAATCATGGGGTAGTATGTCATGAGATCATAATCGTCAGTGCTTAGAAACATTTTGAGTCATTTAAGAAAGCTATGGTAAGTAATGGACTTCTGAAGATTAGTGTATAATCTTCAGACAACACAACCTGAGAATATAAAAATATTTTTTTCCTGCAGGTGGAATCACAGCAACGTAGTATAATCTACTATGCAAAACATGTCTACAATTTACATCTTAGCACATTCTAAAAACAGACTTCATCATGAATGAATTCACCATTCCAAAATTAGCTCAAAAATGTTGCATGGGCATTGATTGAAAATATCTGGCTTGCTTTCTTTTGTTTACATCAGATTTAATGTATTTAACAATTCAATGACAGTGGAAATTTTCACCCAATGGACAGTGGAAATTTTAATGCGATATCATTTTATACAATATTTTTAACATTTTTTTAAAAAAAAGCTTTCTTAATGAATGTATACCTAGATTGTCTCTTACTGATACAAATCTTGTCAGATTAATACAGCTATACCTTGCTTTATGGTTTGTACTGAATCTAAGTTACAGCAAGTTGTCCCTCCCTTGTCCCTGTTGCAAACATCTACATTTGTAACTTTCTTCTTTATTTTCATATCATCAGCTTTTAGTTCTGTGATTTTTAAAGATTTAATCTTTTCATCACCCTTGCAGCTATTAATTTTGAAGTATTTTTTAATTAAATTAAGGAAAGGGAACAAGTATTGTTTTCCTGCAGTGATAAAATAACAAGGCCTGATTATCAATTATCTGGTGAAACATATCATTTATTACTTCCAGTCGCCCTTTGTTCATTAGGCTTAAGCTTTAAGGTCTGGGTAATTTTCATACAAAGCGTGCGAGCAAAGTTATATTTTATCCACTTAATGATAATGTTTATCTTCTATTCAGGGTCCATTTTTATTTGTTATTAATCCTTTTTATTAACTTGCAACATTATATACCTAGCTAATATATTTCCTCTTTCTTATAATGTGCTTCAGTTAAAAAAAGCAGAATCTTACAAAGCCTTCTTTGGTCAGGAGATTCTGTTCATCAGAAAAAGGAATCCGTTTTCTTGTGCATGTTTAGTGCTATTCATAACTACACTATTTTTGAACTCAAACAATGACACAGCGTGATGATGAGCAATATTACAGGTAAGTATCTTTTTGGATATTAAAATTTTAGATTATCAAATTTGCAATCATGCAATTGCAAAAAGAATTTGAATTGTTTAAAAAACTGCAGATGGCAGTACATTCAATCAAAATTTCTTTTTATTTCACAATGTGGTCCAGATTTATTAGGAAAATTTACATTCTTGGATTACTATCAGACTGAAAATCTTTTGAAAGTTTCCAAATCCCCAGTATTTTACTAGACAAATAAAGTTTATTATTAGGATATATATTATTTAACTGAATGAACTTTGGAATAAAAGGTTGGGATATGCCATTTAAATATATCAATAGTTAAGGGTCTTAAATATATGAAGGATGTTTTTATGATATTGCAATGAAACTAATTCAGTAACATATTTTTCCACATTTATTGGTGACCACAATGTTTAGATAGCCCCTGACTATCATGACAGTGCACAGTGAGGGAGAGAAGACTTAAACATACACTGTGACCTTCCCTTTTGTTCCTCATTTTCATTTACTATCCATCATTTTATTAATCTGGTTTGGTAAAGGTAACATGGTTTAATGTTGAAATACGATTTTGAATTTTATACTAAAGATCTGCAATTTGTGATTTGTGGATTTATCATGTATGGGATGTACCAACTAAAATGCCCACACACACACACACATTTTCTTTTTTAAAAAGAAGAAAATACTGGCAAACGATGATACAGATTCACTGTCTTCTAATTATATATATATATATACCTTTTATCAATGTCTTAAAAAGATTGATCAGATTTTGTGTGGTCAAGGTCTGGTTTAATGTATATTTAAAATGCACTGATTTTAAAGTATGCATTATAATACTTCTTTCCAATTTCTTATTTACATATTGCCTCCTTTTCTTTTTGTAAAATAAAAAAATAAACATCAAAAATAAAATACATGATCACATGTGACAGAAGGGAGAGGGCTGCACCTTTGATCTGCCCTAATCAATACATGATTCATGAACATAGCTGTCGGCTGAATATATTTTGGATGATCTATTGTTGGGTATATAAACATCTCTTTGAGATTTGGTCAGACTTTGACTTCCATTGTTGCATCTTTCTACCTTTGCTTGCATCTTACCTTCTTGGTGAGCTTTGTTAAAATAAAACAATTATAATTTAGTGGTAGTAAGCTGGGTTTATAAATTATTCTATAGAAAAAGAGTAAGATTTTATTGAGGTAAGAATATTCATATTTATAGCAGTAAATCTATAACCAATGAAATCAATTTTCATTGCTATTATGTGTTTATTGGCTTTGCAAAATAATAATCTTTGGTTTCCATCAGTTGTTTTGAATGTTTACTACATTAGGTTCTGGTCTAGTTAGATTCCACATCAGACTACGTTATAACTTCTAAAACAAAAGGGGGATTGAGAAGTGCTTTTCCTGAGACTGTGCTCCTGACTTTTCTTGTAGATAATGCACCATTCTTCATGAGAATGACTTGGAACTTTGTCGTAACTATTTTTTTTTTAAAGTCTTTCTTGTTTCAGGATGTTATTGATAGCATCTATCCTTTCATGGATGTACAGAGTCCTCTTTCCATCGAGGGAATGTCTTCCATTCCACCATAATTAATTCCACCATCCTTTGTAGAATTTATATAAATTGTAGAATTCATATAAAATGTATTTAGAATTGCATATCATTATTTTATGTCGCTGCATAATTTATCAATGTGATTTCCAAACAACTCCCAAAGAATAAGCTAGATGAATATAGTCAGAGCATAGCAGAACAAAATAATATATTCCTATCTCCACCGATAATCTATAATGAAAATTGGAGCTCCCACCCTTCCTTCATATTTAATATGTCATGATGTAGTATCTGTATTGTACTTTAAAACTTTCCAACTCTGTTTCTCTTATACAATATGAATAATTTGTATGTCTCCAATTTTGTATGTTAACTGTTGATTATTAGACATTTATTTATCATAGGAAATAATTATTAATTGTATAGCATCTATACTATTTGTCTGGAAATTGTTGCCTTAGTGTTCTGTGAAATAAAGATAGAAGTGGCTAGGAAACAATTTATACAGTAGCAAATGTCTATTGATTACAAATGGTTTCAGCTACACAATATTGCAGTTATGTGAAATTTGCTGTTGATGGGGATGTTTAGGTAGCTTTAGTAAGAGATTTAAAATATTCATTCTGGGTGGGTCTTAATTATTGTAATTAATTATTATACAGTATCTCAATACAGTCATCGTGTGTTGTTCCATTTTCTTCATGCTTTATTTGACAGCATAAATAAAATAGTATATATGCCTTTTGATTTCATTCCATGGAGTTTGTTACACTTTTATACAACAGACTGGAAACTGAAATTTATATCAAATTTCAGTTTTCAGTCTGTTGCACAAAAGTTTTGCAAAGTTTAGTTGCAAAATGATATCTAAACCCAGCATTTTTTTAATGTCTCCCATCCAAAACGTGCAATGTCTTTTATTAGCAGTCAGCTAGCCAAGAGCTAGAAAACAGGCAAGTCGGGCCATGTCTCACTGAAGTAGGTGGGATTTCCCTTTGCCAACATTAACACATGTCAGGTTCGAATGAGGGGGATTTCCAAGTATAGCAACGATTATGTTTGCAGAAGCACATAAGCAGAAACATGTTGGTTTATTCTACCTGAGTGTTTGCTCTTTGGCTTTAGTTTTTTATGCCTTCGGGGCTTCTTTTCAAAAATACAGCAGCTGTGAGAATTAGCCACTCTTAGTACCTCTTTCGTTTGAGCAAGCTCTTACTGTTGTAGTACAGAGAAACACAACTTGGATGTTCAACTCTTGCTGCCAAGTCTGCTAAGTCTAAAGCTTGCTGCTGCAGCCTTACACATTTTTGGAAAGAGATTTCAGCCCCTTCTGTGTTCTAGATGCAGTAGCAATCTATATTTCATTGGACTAGCTTTCTATAGCATTAAAAATTAGCAAAAAAAGGGTTTATTCTTGAAATGCATTTAAATACATCTCAACTCTTAGAATCTTGTTTAAGTAGCAATGGATTTATTTTTGAAGTTGGTTTGAATATTAGAAACATACTTTTATTAAAAGCATTTGAACTTTTGCCAGTGGCCATTCATATGCATGGTATAAAGTCAGTGTGAGAGTATTATGAA